AAATATTGTTATGACACAGGTATATAATTTTTCAGATGATTATGCAAGCCATATAATTAACATATATATATATATATTTCTTTTACAGAAACTGGAACCATACCATTTTGTAATTTTTTTGCTTTGTCACCAGATATTCCCCTGCCACATTATTTCAATGACCATGTACAGTACACCAAATGGATGTACACTGATTTATTTACCAACATCCTTGTTACACATTAAGAAAATATTGCAATGCACATGTGATACCCATCACAATAGAATACTTAACAGATTATAGTGATCTCGCAACTATAAAGAATTTGCCTTACGTTACTTTTCCTGAAGTAGCAATGGGACTGAATTCATTCACTGGAGAGAGAGAAGGAGTCTGTGTCTGCCCAGGGCAGTGCTAACTGGCCGGTGAAAAAACAAAACCCAGGGTTCTTGGGACTTGGGCAATAGAGAACACATTGTCGTAAGAAAATCAAGTTAATTTTTTGAAGCTGAAAGGAACTTTAGAAATAGTCAATTGTTATACCCTTAATTAACTTTTCAGGTTCCTGGAGAGGTTAATTTTTTTTTTTTTTTTTGGCAGAGTCTTGCGCTGTTGGCCAGGCTAGAGTGTGTTGGCCTGATCTCCCACTCACTGCAACCTCCACTTCCCAGGTTCAAGCAATTCTAGTGCCTCAGATTCCTGAGTAGCTGGGATTAAAAGCGTGTGCTACCACACCTGGCTAATTTCTGTAACTTTAGTAGAGATGGGCATTCACCAGTAGAGATGTTGGCCAGGCTGGTCAACTCCTGACCTCAAGTGATTTGCTCGCCTCCACCTCCCAAAGTGCTGGGATTATAGGCATGAGCCCCGAACCCAGTCTAAATGTTTTTTTGCTAAAGCTAAATTTTAGAACTCCTCTTAGATCTCCTCACCTGGTACTATTGGTAGGTTTCTGCAATCACATAGAGGTTTAATACTTTTATAATTCAAGACTCTGCGTAAATGGGACTTTGGTCCCCACAATCACATTCTAAGTTCAAGTCCAGCTAACTTATGCAGGGCTTTCAACAGCATGATCCTAGCTGCTTCTGCAACCCTTAGCTAAAAATCCCCATCCAAACCTAGAAAACATGCTAAGTGAAAGAAGCCAGACACAAAAAGCCACATATTGAATTATTCCATTTATATAAAATGTCCAGAATAGGCAAATCCATAGAAACAGAAAGTACATTCGTGGTTGCCAGGGGATGAGAGAAAGGGAAATGGGAGTGACTGTTTAATGGGCATAAGGCTTCTTTTTGGGGTGATGAAAATACAAACAGTCCCCGACTTATGATGGTTCCATTTGACTTAGGATGTTTCAAATTTACAATGACACAAAAGTGATACACATTCAGTAGAAACCATACTTTGAGTACCCATGCAATCATTCTGTTTTTCACTTTCAGTATAGTATTCAGTAAATTCCATGAGCAATTCAACACTTTTAAAATGTATAAAATAGGCTTTGTGTTAGATGATTTTGTTCAACTGTGGGCTAACGTAAGTGTTTTGAGCACACTTAAGGTAGGCTAGGCTAAACTGTGATGTTTGGTAAATTGGATGAAACAAATGCATTTTTGACTTATTTATTGTTTTTTTGGGAGATGTAATCCCATTGTAAATTGAGGAGCATCTGTATTCTATAATTAGATAGTGATGATGGTTGCACAGTATTGTGAATATGTTAAACAATCACTGAATTGCACACTTTAAAATGGTGAATTTTATGTTATGTGAATTTTATCTCAAGTGAATTAAAAAACAAAAAAACTGTCCTGCCTGTGTCAATGAAGATAAGAGACAGAACAATCAGATGGGTTAGTAGAGACTGCTAAGGAGTTGCCCCATTGTGAACTCTTCCTGGGAAGGACATGCAGTACCTCCCGCAGAATACCCACATTCTATCTTCCCATTTCCAGCTAAGTAAAGAGAGCAACCAGAGAAACAAGCCACAAGCTGACATATGCCTCCTGAAGTTCAGAAAGCACAGAAGCTGGAGTATGAGTTCTGAGTTTCCCCTGAAAACGTGTCTCCATATAATGAAAGACATAGGATTGGGTGAGAGATCTGGTTCTATAACAAATCTTGGGCAATTTACAAAAACCAAGTGGAGCAGACCAAGAGAAGAACAGGATGCTGTAGAAGCCGAGTGCCCTTCCATAGTCGGTAGGCAAAGGTATGTGTTTCTTGTGGGTTCAAGCTAAGTCATACCGTAAAAATCCTATTAAGAGTGCTGCCCGCCAGAGTGAGGAGATTCCACAGGAAGCTCCTGCATGCGGCTATCAGGGACCGCACTGAACTCCATCTCCAAAGAACACCCAGCGTGCCTCATGCCAAAAAGAGAGGAAACAAGATATCTGCCAGTGTATAAATTCCACCTGATTACAGGAGGCATGCTAGCATCAAAGGAAATAAAGAATGTGAAAGCCCTTCTTCAGACATAAAATGCTATTGAAGTGTTAATTATTGTAAAAATGACTTAGAATCATCAAACATGTGCTATTAACATTTTCTTGTCTCCTGTCTCTAATTCTTTAAGTCTTTGATTACAACCTGATATAATTCTGGAAATCACAAGGCTAGAGAGAACTCCTGCAATTTCACCAACTCAAATCACTGTCTCCAGGCAGAAGGTATTTCCAAACCCAGCTAGACACTCACATGACCACACACCCTTCTTAGCATACTAGTTTCAGAATTATGTCCAGTGTCAAGCCACATTCTACAATCCCTTAGAGTCATTACCGAATGGTCAAAAATGCCAATGTATTATGTCATGTGGAAGAGGCCAGAGGAATATCTATCGCATCCTATTTTAAACTCCTGAGAAGGCAACTCAACCATCTGTCTTGGCAACCCATTCTAGGTTGGAAACACCCTGGCAGAAATGTCTCTCTTCTGTTTAATCTAAATCCTTCAAATAGAACCTTGAGATAATTGCATCCCATTTCATTTTCAAATAATTTGGAACACAGTTGTTTACCATCTGAGTTATAGGATTATATAATGTCACAGGGCTGTGGTGGGCAATAAATGACATAGCTCAGTGTCTGGCACAGTGTAATAGCTGTGAAAACACATAATAATGGCTCAGTACATATTTATTATTACCATCATTACATGTGTAAGGACTCTGTAACAACTCAAAATAATTTAAGCTAATAAAGGGGGGTGAGATAGAAAATATAATTAAAAAGGAAGTAAAAATATCCAGTGGCCTTCAGGTACTACCAGATCCAGGACTCAAAGAATGTTGGCAGGGCTCTTATTTCCCTTTCTTCCCCTTGGTTTTTAAGACACGCTTTTAAAGTATAAGATAAGGACAGCAACCAGCAGATTCAGGTGGGGTAAAACATATCTTAACCACTTTGAATAGGTTCTCTATTCATCAGTTCATGTATCAAAAATTTATTGAATGTGAACATTAAGCAGGGTTCTAGGAGCTGAGAATACAGCAATGTCCAAGACAGATAAAACTGCTGCCCTCTCGGAATTTACCTCCTAGTGGAAAGAGGGAATCTGTTAGAAGAAAGGAAAGGGATGCCAGAAAGATAAAAATGTTATCCTCCACAAAATAAGGTCATATTTTATACCTTAAGGTCAACTCTTATCTTTCTTTCCTCCCAGCTAGTAAACTCAATCCTTTTACAACCTTCTTCCCCTTTCACCAACATGTGAAACTCCCCAGATCAGGTCTTCAAATGGATAAATAGCCTTGTCTATGGATTTTGAGTGCATTTAGTTTACTTATGCTGTGCAGTCTCTGCATAGTGTTTCTACAATATGCCTGTAGCTATAATAATAAAACCTTCCTGTTTTCATTTTTTAAATCACTTATTCTTTTTAGACTATTTTTGCACTAAATACAGGTCTTTCTTCTGCCTTCATGGTTTCCTTTAAATAGGATGTTAATTAACTAGTAAAATCCTACAAAAACCTGGTCATTTATTAGTCATTTAAAAAGTATACCTCTGAGCAATTTTAATTCTAATCCTCTGTGTTAACCATTCTAAATCTATAAAATTGAAGGCCAGGAGACCAAGTTTTTTGATAATCCCCGCCCACGAAGTGTGGCCTAATACTAGAAAATCTCAACCTCTGCCTCTCCCCTGGAAGTGCACAGTGAGGAATGCTTGCACGAAGCATTTAAGCTGAATTCTTATGCTAAAATTCAACTTCTCATGAAACAAATTGATCTGAATCAACCTGTCCTCCTCTGAAAATGTCTAGATTTATCAGCGCTATCCCGGTTTTATTCCACAAACAATTCTATTTAAATTAGTTGTTGGTCTAACAGATCTGAACAACCATAGCAATCATTCATGGACTATGTAGAAAACGACTTTCACTAAATTCAAGACTGCTCATCACTAAATTCAAGATTGCTCAAGTGAAAAGGTGCGGGGGGAGGGGAGGAAGAGTTGGTTGTCCTCATCATTTTTATTTTTAAGTAATATTACAAGTTATCTGGCCAGCCCCAACTGTTTTCTAAATTTGGTTGCTTTTCATTCCATTCTACTGTGGTTGGCATCTTTTGTCAGAGCATTAATTTATTTCTTTTAATCCAGATATAATGGCCAAATGGGCCATTTGGCTCCATCAAATCCCATCGTTAAAACTTATCTTGGAATTAAACAAAAATGGATTTTTAATTGTAGAGCTCATCAGCCTCACAGCCTCCACCTCATTACTGAATCGCCCTTTCGGTTTGCACCTTCCGCGCCTACTGAACCAAACACAGTGCGCAAGTCGGCGGCGGCATCTCTGGAAGGGATGCAGAGCCTCCGCGCACAGACCCCTTAAGTTCCTGTCCCGCGCGCGTCCGAAGCACGCTTGCAAAAGACGGGGAGGTGGCGGGGACAGAGAGAAGAGACAGAGAGAGAACGAAAGAAAAAAGAGAAGAGGGAAAGTAGAACAGAGAACAAAGAAAAAGAAACAAAGGTCTGCTTTGGGTTATTATTATTATTTAGGTTAATACCCTTATCTTTGCACTCCAGCCGGAAGGTCGACTCCAAGCCTTCTTGCCTGCCCTCCTGCTTCTTGAATTGGACACCATCCCTGTTGCCGCCTCCAGAGTTAGGAAAGGGACAGAACTTTCTGAGGGAGGTGAGGGGTGTCCCCGCGGCGTTTTGCCGGTTACTTCCTCCCGGCAGAGATCTCTGTGGGGAGGAAACATTCCCGACTTCCCTCCCCGGGACCTCCTCCCCAAATGCGAGCGGGGACGTCAGGCTGCTTCTGGGTTTATTTTATAAACCCTGACAGTCAATTGCACTTGGCGCCGGCAAAGCCTCCATGGCCCTCGCCCCAAAGCAAAGCTGTAATAGGTCCGAGGACTCCATGGTCTGGGTGGCGAAGTGGGTCTCCAAGGGCGAGACCCCCCTCCCTCGGTGGCTGGGCGTGTCCCCTTTAGCCTTCCTGGACCCATTCCCTCCCGGCTTGGAGCTGGACGAACGGACGTAATAGGTAGTCGAGCCGGTGGGGGCGTCTTGACCCCAGGACGAGAGTCTGGGCCTCGGGTGTGGAGCCCTGCCTCCTCCCCGCTCTGCTCGGCCGTTCCAGAGGTCCAGGTGGGGGCGGGAGGAGGAAGGCGGGAAGAGGCGGCGAGGCCGCGGGGCGGGATGAGGGGGCGCCGGCCGCCTCTCGGATTGGCTGCGCTGCCGCCCCCTCCGCATCGCGCGCCCCCTCCGCACCGCGCGCCCCCCACCACGCGCCCAGCCGGCTCCCTCCCGCAGGCTCCGAGCTGCTGCCCGCGAAAGGCAGGACGCGCAGGGTTGGGACCGGCCCCCCAGCCCCGCTCCCGGCCCCGGGCGCGCGGGCACCCCGGGTCCTGCAGCCTCCCGAGCGCGGAGAGGCGGGGCCGTCCGCTCCCGCCCGGCTGCCCGCGCCCCATCCCGTCCCGCGGCCCCAGCTCCAGGAGCCGGGCGCCCTGCGCGAGGGCACTCGGCTGCCAGAGCGCCGAGGCAGTACCTTTAGCCTGCGATGAGAGGAACCCGGGAGAGCCCCCGGGAGCCCACGGAGAGCTTGGCTGCTGCGCCCAGGGTTACTGCTGCCGCCGCGGCTGCTTGAAACTCCTCAAAGTTGAGAGCCGGCGAGAGGCTGCCGCCCGCCGGGAGCCTGAGGGAAAGGAAGTCGGAAGGTGCAAGAGCGACAGACACTGACGCGCAGACCTTCGGAAGGCACCGCGTCGGCAGCCTCCCCGGAGCCAGCCAGGCTCCTCAGCTCTGTGAGTTATTTTCTGGATGGGTGCTTGCTAAGCCTTTCCGTTTAATTGTTTGTAGGCTACGTTTGCGTATAGTTGTGTCTGTTGAAGGAAGTTAAAAAAAAAAAAAAAAAAACGCAGGCTGCACCTTAGGAAAAAAATGAGTTTTTGATGGTGGGTGAAACGGTGGGTTGTATGGAGAGAATGTGACTGTAAATGTCTATTAGCAGGACTAACCCAGGAAAGAATAAATTTAACAGTAAAGAGGAAACACAGAGCTCCCCAGTGTGAAATAAAATCCATTTCAAAAGTTATTGGAAAGAAAGTAGGGTATGGCTCTTATGGGCTAACTAGTGGTAGTCAGCTTCTGCTTTTTACCCCCTCCTAAATATTAATTGTTTGCCAGGTTCACTGGTGGGAGGCTGAGCCGGTGGAAAAGACACCGGGAAGAGACTCAGAGGCGACCATAATGTCGTTACGTGTACACACACTGCCCACCCTGCTTGGAGCCGTGAGACCGGGCTGCAGGGAGCTGCTGTGTTTGCTGGTGATCACAGTGACTGTGGGCCCTGGCACCTCTGGGGTGTGCCCCACCGCTTGCATCTGTGCCACTGACATCGTCAGCTGCACCAACAAAAACCTGTCCAAGGTGCCTGGGAACCTTTTCAGACTGATTAAGAGACTGGACCTGAGTTATAACAGAATTGGGCTTCTGGATTCTGAGTGGATTCCAGTATCATTTGCAAAGCTGAACACCCTAATTATTCGTCATAACAACATCACCAGCATTTCCACCGGCAGTTTTTCCACAACTCCAAATTTGAAGTGTCTTGACTTATCGTCCAATAAGCTGAAGACGGTGAAAAATGCTGTATTTCAAGAGTTGAAGGTTCTGGAAGTGCTTCTGCTTTACAACAATCACATTTCCTATCTTGATCCTTCAGCGTTTGGAGGCCTCTCCCAGTTGCAGAAACTCTACTTAAGTGGAAATTTTCTCACACAGTTTCCAATGGATTTGTATGTTGGAAGGTTCAAGCTGGCAGAACTCATGTTTTTAGATGTTTCTTATAACCGAATTCCTTCCATGCCAATGCACCATATAAATTTAGTGCCAGGAAAACAGCTGAGAGGCATCTACCTTCATGGAAACCCATTTGTCTGTGACTGTTCCCTATACTCCTTGCTGGTGTTTTGGTATCGTAGGCACTTTAGCTCAGTGATGGATTTTAAGAACGATTACACCTGTCGCCTGTGGTCTGACTCCAGGCACTCGCGTCAGGTACTTCTGCTCCAGGATAGCTTTATGAATTGCTCTGACAGCATCATCAATGGTTCCTTTCGTGCGCTTGGCTTTATTCATGAAGCTCAGGTAGGGGAAAGACTGCTTGTCCACTGTGACAGCAAGGCAGGTAATGCAAATACCGATTTCATCTGGGTGGGTCCAGATAACAGACTGCTAGAGCCGGATAAAGAGATGGAAAACTTTCATGTGTTTCACAATGGAAGTTTGGTTATAGAAAGCCCTCGTTTTGAGGATGCTGGAGTGTATTCTTGTATCGCAATGAATAGGCAACGCCTGTTAAATGAAACTGTGGACGTCACAATAAATGTGAGCAATTTCACTGTAAGCAGATCTCATGCTCATGAGACATTTAACACAGCTTTTACCACTCTTGCTGCTTGCGTGGCCAGTATAGTTTTGGTACTTTTGTACCTCTATCTGACTCCGTGTCCCTGCAAGTGTAAAACCAAGAGACAAAAAAATATGCTACACCAAAGCAATGCTCATTCATCGATTCTCAGTCCTGGCCCCGCTAGTGATGCCTCCGCGGATGAACGGAAGGCAGGTGCAGGTAAAAGAGTGGTGTTTTTGGAACCCCTGAAGGACACTGCAGCAGGGCAGAACGGGAAAGTCAGGCTCTTTCCCAGCGAGGCAGTGATAGCTGAGGGCATCCTGAAGTCCACGAGGGGGAAATCTGACTCAGATTCAGTCAATTCAGTGTTTTCTGATACACCTTTTGTGGCATCCACTTAATTTGTGCCTATATTTGTATGATGTCATAATTTAATCTCTTCATATTTAACTTTGTGTGTGCTCTGCAAAATAAACAGAGGACAGAAATTGTGTTGGTTTGTTTTTTGAAATACAATCAAATGGTCTCTTAACATGATTGGTAGGAGATGAGGTAAAGCACTTTAGTTCCTCAATGTGCCAGAGAAAGATGGGGTTGTTTTCCAAAGATTAAGTTCTAGATGACAATATCTTAGTCTTTAGCACTATTGATAATTTCAGAGCAGGCCCAGAGGTAATGTGACTCCCATTGTCACTTTATTTACGGTATTGAAAGAAAAAATAAATTTTATGTATTCGTGTCCTTTAAAAATAGACTGTGCTACTTATTAGGACCAAAGTTGAGTTATTTTAAAGAAAAGCACTAGTGTTCAATTTCATTTTTAAAAGTTGTAGAAAGAAGAATCAAGCATCAATTAATTGTAAAGCCTAAAGCAAAGTTAGATTTGGGGATTATTCAGCCAAAATTACCATTTCAGACCAGAATGAATAGATGACACTGGTAAAATGTACTAGATAATGCCACATCCTATATGGTGTTATATAAATAGTGCAAGGAAAGTACAACTGTTTGCCTGTCTTCTTTTCATTCTGTACATTCTTTCCATTCTGTATCTTTGTAAAAAAGATTTCATTGAAAATTTAAAGTCATCATAATTTGTTGCCATAAATATGTAAGTGTCAATACCAAAATGTCTGAGTAACTTCTTAAATCTCTGTTCTAGGAAACTAATATTGGTTCATGTGCTCGTGTATATGTAAATCTTAAATTATGTGAACTATTAAATAGATCCTATTGTACTGTGCTTTGGACATCTGAATTAATGTAAATACATGTAATCTGTGACTTGATGTTTTATTTGGCTACTTAAAAACATAAATCTAAATGTTTTATGTTCTCAGATTATGCTATTTTGTATAAAGCACCACAGATAGCAAATCTCTCTCTAAAAGTCTTATAGTAAAGTTTATTTTTTTTAAGGGGGAGAGGAAGACTTTAATGTGTTGTAGATCAACTTGTACCTTCTATGTGACGTTTTACCCTGATATCATTATGCACTTTAACCAGATTCAGAAAACACTTAAACTCTTATTTTGCAACAAGTGAGAGCCCAGGAGACCTCCTTATTATCCCGTCTCTGCTATGAGGCAATCAAGTACCCTCTCTGAACCTAGGTTCCCTCAGCTGTAAAACAAAGGTTTCAAACCAGATGGTGTTTAAGGTTTCTCCCCATACTGGAATGATGATTTCTTGGTGGTCTTAGCATCATCACAGACCTATACTGGCTTTCTGAGACACTACTACATACTGAAAGAATAAAGGAATGGGATTAAGATAGACTAGCATAGCAGTGTACAGCTTGAAGGGACGTTCCACATCACCACTCCAGCTCCTTCTGTTTTCTCAGGGACAAATGAGGCCCAGAGAGAATATGGCATGTCTAAGTTCAAACAGTGGCAAGGATAGAAGGAGAGCTGGAGTTTAGCATTCTCCCTGGTGAAGATCAGACGTTCAAAGAAACAACTCCTTTTCAAGGGATGGGCATAGAAAAGGAACCAAGGATTCAGATAAAAAGTGATCAAAACATGGCAAAGGAGAATCAAGGATTCTTCTTTGGGAAAAATATTGCAGAGAAGTAGATAAAGATGGAAGATCAACCACTTACTTTGGCAGTAGTGGTTTTCTGTGAATGAATCAGTAATAAAAATAGTAATAACAATAATAATGGATGCATGGTGAGAACTCCCTAAGTGCCATGTGGGACTTTCAGTGGCAGACTGGACAGTGGGAAGTTAAGGAACAAGTAGCCAGTAAGTGTCCTTTTAGGGAACAGGATGTAGACCTGCTGCTCAGTAGCATTGAAAATGTCTTATTGGATGGTGTTAAAAATTACTAACACCTCTTAAACACAGACCTCACCCTTTGGACAATATCCTTCAGAGCCAGCGATGTTACAAGCAAGCATTTTATTCTGCTTACTGCCATTAAAATAGGAAGAATTCTGTGACTTGTAGGACCTTAGAAATCATCACCTCTTCTTCCTTTATAGAAACGCAGACTCAGGAAATGTGTTTGTTTAGGATCATACTGCTAGTCTGGACACAAGGAAAGCCACTTGATCCATGAAAGCTCTCCAGCAATGGAAGGGCTGCCACAAGGGGCCATGAATACTCTGGGAGTGTGGTAGAGCTGGGACTATCCTCTCACAGGGAAATTGGAAAGAGGATCCCTGAATTAAATCTTTTTTGGAAGGGATCCCTAAGGGTCTTCGATTCCTCAAATCCTTGATCCTATGAAAATAAGTGTTGTATTTGGCAGGGAAATATGGACAGTATTAGGGGTAGGGAGTGGCTCTCTGGCAAAATGATAGGATGAACTGAGACAGAAACTAAGATACTTATAACCAAAACAAATCAACCAAACAAACAGAAAATCCCAAACACTGAAAAGCAAAGCTGTGTTTTGAACAAAAGTAGGAAGGCATGTTGGTTTAAAAAAAAAGTATGAAACTGAATGTTGTGATGTAGAATTTTATTTTAAGTCCTTGGATGTATCAATTTTTTGATAGGAGCCTGATCACATATATTTTAAATATAGGAACAAAAGTAATTTATCCTTCTAAAATGTATCTCACTGAGACCTTTTATATAATTTTCTTTCCAAGTAATAATCTGGATTTATGTAACTGGGTTATTTTTTAAGCCACTTAGAATTTTTTATTTTATAGTTGTGAGACGTGAAAACTCACTGGAGAAATCAATCAAAGATCATAGAAGTGAAATTTTCCAAGGCTTAGAGTATTTTTGCATTATAACAAAGATACTGGGTCCACCATTCTCTGTGTACATATGATAATATATTCTATAGTTGTCAGTTAAAATTTTAAACACACTTTCAAGATCTAGAATCTGAAAGAAGGACCTAAAAGATTTTCTTATTTATAAT